TCAATGGAACTTACTTAGGCTCAACTCATCCCTTGTGAATACAATCTAATCAAGCCCTACAGGACTCAGAAGTCCACAGATGGAGTAAAGCATCTGAGTAATACAAAATAAAGAGATGCAGATGATGCCTAGTAAAACCGGCAAGCCTGGGAATTGATTGAACTTCTAATTCACAACAGCATATATCAAGCAAATCATTAATATAAAAATTTCAAATTTTTTCTCCTAAATTGGATAAAGGCATCCTAATCTCCAATATTCAGGGTTGACATTAAAAAAAAAAACATATGGTGGACCATGTGGTTAAGCTTCAGCTACTGAATAGATTCTATAGGAATACCTGTCTACTGGAGGAGAGAGTGGGGGAACTTAGAGGCAATACTGGAGGATGAGGAAGTATCCTTGAAGATGGTTACTGTGTCTTATCCTAAATCCATACCTTCCTGTGGGCACTTTCTACTGCCTAGGATGGTGTGTGAAATGGAGGATGTTGATCTGACCTGATACAAGTTCTTGTGACAGAATCATTGTGACAAATCTTTCATGCAGTATACATGATGGAAATGGAGATGCTGTAATATGCCCTCACCAGGGAAATGTGATAACTGTATTTTTAGAAATGGTCTGGACTGTTTGCAGTTAGGTAATTTTTGTAATTCTGAAGGCTCTTGTAACTCAGCATAAGGTTAGTTAATGTTGAGAAAATAACAATGATTAGCATCTGTCAACAAAATGACCCTCTTCTAATAATGTAGAGATAGTATTGTGACCTAATGGTTTACCAAATGGTAGGGTAAGGAGTAAGAAAAGGATGCTGAGTTAAAATACATTGCATGGGGGGTTTATTGACCAGATTGTTTTGGAGAAGAAATAATTTAATCTGCTAGAAGTAATACTGTCTGAAGTAGAATTGAGGTTAAATTTCTGACTGGCCAGTTCATCTGGGTTTTGTTAGTTTAAATTATATATATATATATACTAATATCATTTAGCATGATAACTACAAAGAAAGAACAAACGTTACAAAACAGCAGTATCAACTTATTTCTTGAATGGAGTTTTATCTGTACAGGTACTGAGTGTAAGAACAGCTTCTAGAGAGAGACAGTGTCTTTATTATATTAAGCTGAAAAAGATGTGCATTGGATGATCCAGACGAGTGGAAGTACTGTCTAAACCCTTATAATGAAGTCATTAGGAGAACAGGATTAACTAAGAACTTCCACTGATGCACTGAGAGGGGGAAAAAAATGTTTGTTTAGAAATGCATAGGAACTCTGTTCATGAAAGAGAACTCTCCTTTGGTATATGTCAACAGAATAATGAAAATGAAGGAAAAGCAAGAAGTGTATACAGAAAATGATAAAGGAGTGTAGGTAGTTTTAATAGTTTATTATAATACAAGTAAATCTTGCATCCACAGTTTGTGTCAATGTTTTAACCTTCAAACTCAAAACACTGGACTTTTTAATTAGAACAATCAATCACTATGCTTTTATAAAATACATAACATTACCATAAAAGCATTGCTGACTGAGTACAGCGCATTTCTAAAAAGCTGCAGAACAGCAATCCATAGACATGTATTAAGATATGTTTAACGTCTGGTGTGGGGCTGGATGCTTAGGGCTGGATACTTTGCTGCTAGCTCCGTGCATGAACTGGTGTTTTCTTTACTGTCTGGCTATAATTGGTATGTTTAATTAGAAATACAAGGCACTGGAAGAATGAAAAAGAATGGAAAGAACAGCAATAGTGAAACTGAGATATAGAATCAGACAGAGGTAAGGCAAAATGAGAAACAACAGAATGAGAAATCTTTCAACTTGAGGTTGTAAGTTTGGATTTTGGGGGGAAAAAGCAGTATTGACTGGCTACAGGTTCTTTGCGTCTGGAAGCTTAGCTGAAATGCATAGTCCAGACTTGAAGGTCTCACCTAGCAGCAACTACTGCTGAGACATGGTTACATGGATTGGTAAGAAGAGTAAAGCCTTTTCACATCCCAGATTATGGTCTAAGGGGATGATGTGGAAACACAGTGATGGAGTTCAGCTGTGTAAACCTGCGTTGCACATGCTGTGATTGTTCATATACATGGTTCTAAGGAAGAAGCACTGTGTACTCCAGCCCTTCCACACAGTCTTTGATGTCTGTGCTATGCAGTTCACAGACTCCTCTAGCCCTGCCATGGGGGGCAGCTCTCCTCCTTTACTACACAACATTTTTGTTCCCCAGTATGTAATGTATTTTGTGGATGAGATACTTCCAGAGCAAGTTCTTGTGACTCTTTGAACACTGACAAAAATAATGGAGGTCATTTAGAAGAACAAACAAAGTACATATTTATAACTTTGTGTTGTAAATCAGTGTTCTTGTAATTCCTCTCACCATCAAGACTCTACTTCTTTATGTGTAATAAATGCTCAGCCTGGATTTTGGTGCAGTTGTCTAAGCAAGCTGCCTAAGCAAGAGCAAGGAATCAGAGACTTCTGAAGCTTTGAACTAGTGTCTCATCAGTTAACTTAGGTTTCTAAAGATAACCTCTTGTTTTCAGATTTGGAATCAGAGTGGTGCTAACCTAGAGATGGAGGGGGATTAGGGTTAGGTTACATCATCTGAACTGTCCAGCAGAAACAGTGACATTCACTGACTTGGCCATTAGTTTGTTCTGCAGTGGAAGTAGTTCCATGTTATTTAAATGAACAAATAACCCCACAAATAAAAAATCATCTCGAGTGAATTAAGTGGGTCAAGTCTAAAGCAAGCCCTCTGCCATAAACATGTTGGATTTCAAAAACTCTAATTTACATTTCTTCAAGATACTACGTAGTATAAATCGATATTTTAGCTGAATATGGGAATGCGGAATAACCTTAGCCAAAACTTGCCCTTAGAATTAGATGAATATACATGTGTATAAAAGGAAGAAATAGAGTTGATTAAATTTTCCTGGTTGGGATAATGCTAATAAGCTTGTTTCTATCTCTATTGCTGCTTGTTGCAACGAATTTCAGTACTTCTATCTTTTCATCACAATAAAATCACAATATTACTTAGGATTATTTTTTTATTAACATGCTTCCTCTCCCCAAAATCACATGAAATGGTATGAAGTGTTCCTTTTCACCTATTGCAAATACTCTCAAATAATCCATCTGTGATTTGAGCACGGGTTATGAGTGGGCAGCAGACAACCTGACCCATGCAGAGCTCTATTTATTGCTGAGATTCAGCTAGGATAAACTGTATCTGAAGCAAATTACACCTCTCAAACTCTTAAAATAATTCCCACTTATTCATCCATAACAATTTACAGCAATATTGCAAAATCACACTTAAATTTTTCTGTAATGCTTTTTGCATTTGCTCAGTATCAGCCATCTTGAAGAAAACTGCTGTGTGGTTTAAGACAGATGCACTCACAGATGTCTCCCTTTTGACTGTGCTGAAATTGGCAGCATTAAATCCTAGGTGTTGCTCCAATAGCAGTTGAAGTTGTAAAATCATTCCCTAGAAGCGAGCCTGCAATTGTATCTTTCTGGTTACGCGAAGCAAGCTTTCACAGAATTACAGAATTGTAGGGATTGGAAGGGACCTCCAAAGATCATCAAGTCCAACTCCCCTGCAAAGCAGGCCTCCTAATGCAGGTTGCGAAGGGAGGCGTCCAGGAAGGTCTTGAATATCTCCAGAGAAGTAGAATCCACAACCCTCCTGAGCAGCCTTGTTCCAGTGCTTACTGTGAAGAAGTTCCTTCACATGTGGGTGCAGACCTTCCTATGCTCCAGTTTATGGTCATTTCCCCTTGTCCTGTCCCCACAGACCGTTGGAAAGAAGTTGGCCATGTCTGTTTGACTCTCACACTTATAAACATTTATAAACATTAATAAGATCACCTCTCAGTCTTCTTTTCTCAAAGACCCAGTTTGCTCAGCCTTTCCTCGTAGGGGAGGAGCTCTATATACTTTCTAGTATATATTGGCTAATTTATTTATTTATTTATTTATTTGGTGGAGCTGCTAAAAATTACTTTCTGCATGAAAATCCAACTTCAACAAAATCAGTCTGTAGCCTGGTTTGTCAGCAAAATGAGGAATATGAGCTTAGTTGTTCTGAGCAATTGATCTGCCTCTCATTAACTACCATTGTATTAGATGATGGTTTGCAACCACTTTTGACAGGATACAAACAAGAACTGAGTCAGTCTTCCCACTGTAAATTGCAAATACAGGGGCTGGAACTGCAGGAGATGCAACTGCACTCCACAGGGGGCAGGAATGAAGGCTGTGGCTAGCAGCATTGCAGATATGGATTTCTTATTAGAGCTACTATTTACACTTGACTGTTTCAGCTTATTGAGAGACTTTCTCTTGAAGTTCCTAGCCTGGGCACCACCAAGTACTATGGAAAACAAGAAACACCTCTTTACACAGGCTGTCTTGCTTTACTGTTTAACTAAGTTATTTAGTAAGTAGGGGTCCTCTTAATATTTCTTCTATTTTATTGCTAGTACTACATATATACAAATATGTATCTCCCTACCCAAGTCCAGTCTTATTTAAATGGATGAACAAAAAAATTATCCTTTGGAAATAATTTCACTGACACTTGTGCAATAAAGCAGTTAATTGGTGTAAATATGAAGAGAGTCAGAAGTATCAAGACGCCCATTGCTACTGCTGAACTCGTTTTCTCTATTATCTAATGGCTCCATCTCAGATTGTATGGTCCCAAAGTCTGTTTTTATAATAAAGATAAGTAAAGGCTTTGTTTTGGAGGTATTTTTACTGAAAGGGTATTCAAATTTTGTGAAATTGGAAGTAGTTCACTTCCCCAGGACTCTGTGAACAGCTGCTCATTTGTGAAAGTTTGTGTTTTCTTTTTAATTATTATTTTAATTTTATCTTGTGGCATGCTGTAGTCCATGCCAAGTCCTGTTTAGGTCATAGCCAAGCTTCACAAATTCAAGAAAATTCCAAGTTCCACCATGTTGGTTCTCCTACCTGTTTGTGAGGATAAACGTTAATGTGGCACTTGATGCACTCTTGTCCCATGTTAGCCCAGGAGTTTCCGCTCATCCATTTTCTCTTGCATTTGGGGCACTTATATTCACCGAAGCAGCGTTTCTTGCCCTGGTATGGGGTCAGGCCTTCTCCCTTGGGACGAGCCTAAAGAAAGCAAAAAAATGAGTAGCAATGAGAGATCAGTGCATTTTAATAAAAGAGAGTAAAACAATGTCTTTGTACAGGAAACTATGAGAACAAGATACTGGAGACAGGCAGCATGAAGGTCATATCTTAATGAATAGTTTGTATGTTGAAGCTCAAGTTTAAGTTCAAAGAGGTACTTCTGAGAAGTATAGAAAAATTCAAGAATGCTTGCAGCTCTTCTGGCACTGAACTCAGCATTTAGAAATTTTTGTGCACATTTGCAAATAATATTTTTATTATGAATTTCATTATAACCAAATCATATATTGAATAAGTATTGTTATGATTATACATAGCATCTGGAGAAGTAGCTCAGTAGGCTTTTGTGGCTATGTCCTTATCTTCTCCAAGGGAAGTTTTCAGTAAGGAAGCTTTGCAAGTAAGAATTACATAGCCTTAAATATTGAAATGCAGGTGATACACTAGTATGGGGGTACACATTGCTATATGTGATAGTCAAACTGAGGTTAAGTATGAAGGAAAGGTAAGATTTTGATCAAAGGAAATCATTAATTTCATGAACTTCATTAGGATTTCTGCTCACTGTAAACAATGTTTCACTGATCCTCTGTTTTGAAGGAAACAGTAAAGGATTCCCAAATGTAATGAACTGCCGTGATGTAGAAATATTAAATATTGCCTAAAGAAAGCCTGCTTACCCAGGGAAGCTATTAGAGTTGGCAATGACCTTATGTAAATAGCTTTTCTTTTGCAGCAGAAATATGGCGATATACATAATAACGCTAATACTGCAAGGTGACAATGAGTATTGCATACAGCTGTCCTGGGAAGAGCTGTATGCATGAAGCTCCTTTCCCAGAGACTCTAGCAGATGTTGAAATGCTGCCCGCATATTCACTCTATTTTGTTTATTGTTGTCTAGAGGGAGAAACTTCCCCTGTGCTATGGCAGGATGGTACGATCACCTATCAAAGGATGCTTTGTTATTTGTTCATAAGTCATGCTGCTGAGGCTTTCTTTTTTTTAAGTTCCCAGATTAAGTTTACAAAAGTTAAATGGCCCATCGTGCTGGGAAAGGGGTTGTTTTGTTTTGGGAGCTTGTACGATTTCTCAGTGTGTAGGTCCAAATTGCTTTCTATGTGAAAACACTGGTTGGAAAAGCAGGTGGTTGGCAGAAGACCTGAGCTTGGCAGGCACACTGGGACTCCAGCTCCCATGGCTGGTGGTGTTCACTGCACTACCTCCGGTGTCGCGCGTGGGAACAGAGCATCAAGCACTGAATCCTGCACCCTGGCCGATGGGAGACAAGCAGGGGGCACCCAAAACCTCCTCTGGCATGCTGGCCCTATTTTTATTTTTCAGTGTCAGTGAACAACATTTTCTGCTTTTTTTTTTTTTTTTTTTTTTTTTTGGTGTTTATTCCTCAGCATAATTACTCTTCAAAAAATCGGATGTGGTAGCACAAACAACAAACGCTTCTAATAGTTTTTCATGACCTGATGTGCCACTGTAAGTGTTCTGGCTCATGGTGAAGATGAAGCTGATGCTAAGACATACATTTACACTGCACAAAAAAGTGCTCAGTATAATGGGAAACATTTGGACTTTCATGCCTAAATGAGTGCTGGCAGACACCCAGGGTTTAATCCTCCAATCCATGGTGTTCCTTGATAAAGATGGAGATTGCAATTGAATGTAGGGCAGGAAAATGTCAATTTATGGAGCCATCCTTATTCAGGACACTTAATTTGGCACTGCCTCTGAGGAATTTGCTGCACAGCTCAAGTCAGTGTAAGAAGGAGCCACATGCTCTCTTCATTTACAAATTCTCATGGAACTGAATAGGAGCCCTGTGTACAAAGAGCTCCCATGATTGTGAGATGTTTCCCCTCCTCCTGAGGTGTCATGGATTGCTTTGTTTGTAGTTTTGACTGAGGCTATGCTATTGAACAGTGGAAGAGAGTTATTTCCAATTCTCAGTTTCAGCGACACAGTACTTAAACTCTTCCTCTGGTCATAGCTGGAAAGGCAGCTTCGTTACCCCTACTAAGCAGCAGTCCTTTCAGAAAAAGTACAGGTCACTGAGCATGTTATTTCCAAAAGCAATAGCGTAGACGTTGGAGACAGAGCATGTCTGAGAAGTCCTACACATGTTTATAAACAGTATTAGAACATAAAACTCCCACTGCAGTATGCTGTGCCAACCATAAACAGTGTTAAAACATCAGATTCCGCAGGCAATATGTTAGCTAGCCACGCCCTGCAGGCAGGGCATCTCTGAGATGGCTGCCTGGAGCAGGATGGGGAGCACAGGTTTCTGCAGCTGAGGCAGCTGGCTGCAGAGACAGAACAGAGATGCTGTGCCCTCCCAAACTCATTGCAGGGCACTGGAGGTGCTTGTCTGTGATGTCCTCTATGTGTATAGCTAGGCTCCAGCACTGGAGGCTTGCCAGATTAGAAGTCATTTCTCTGACTTGCTCAGTCAGTGGGAAGCAGAACCAGGAAAAGAAGGCAGGAGAGGGAACTCCAGAGGTAATTTCCTGTTATAATTGCTTAACTAAACTTCTGATTTATTTTTACTTTAACTTTTCAGCTGTCACACCTTCCTCCTTATTCAGAGACTTTAATTAGTTTGCTGGCAAACTACAACTTTCTCTGTAGGTGTTTCGCTACTCAGTTTTATGGATGTTTATACTTCACCCTAACAGATTTTATTTTCTTTCTCATATCCTCAGTTTCCCAGACTATGCCTGACAGGGAAGTTGTTTTCTCAAACAAACAAGCTCATTATCAAGAAATGCCATTTGGAATCACTGAAAGCAGTGAAAGTAACTCTCCAACTCGCTTCACCCTTCGGGTTCAAACAAAACAGACGTGACAGTTTCTGGTGAAAGGCACAATAGATCTTGCAAAAGCCCTTCCGAGGTCCTCTCTCCACAGCAGTCAGAAAAATGGAAGGGTCTTGTCCTTAGGCTCATTAGATAGAGATGCATTACCTCAATCTTCCAGACAAAAGGCTACAACAAATGATAGCATCTTTGCAGCTTTATCTAAGCACGTACCTGAAAGTTGGTGCATGAGCTTGCCTCAATGAGATTTAACCTATGTATAAACCCAGCAATTTTTTCTTTGTGGCACAGCAGTGAAAATTACTTCAATGTTCCATCTTTTACTGACACCCAACTACCTCTACTTTTCATCTTCCTCCATTCTTCAGCCAAAACCACAAATTGGCTATAATAAGATTTTAAAGCTTTTAAAGTTGAGCTTTTCTGTTAGTAACTGGCCAGCTGAGCTCTCACACATAACCTATTGGACTGTGCATCTCATGGAGGAATCTGCCAAATCACTTGGCAGTGATGGCCATAATAAAGGATTCTGCTTTCCCCAGACAGTTCTCTCCAAGTATCAGTTTGCAGAGTCAGCAACAAAACAAAACAAAATCTCCACATGTCCAGCTTAGAACTAGACTGATTATAAACAACAGCTTGCAGAGATTTCCTTCGAAGTGGAATGGAGAAGTTCAGTTTGTTTAATACTCTTCTTCCCTACATCATCCCCTGGGTTTGTGTTGCACAGCTGAAAGATGTACAATGCAGGAGGACGATGAAGTCAGCGTGACACTGGTAGGTGGGTCTCCTTCCTAGAAGAACATTGTAAGTATCTGCTTATAAGGATGATTCAACAGAGCAGAAAAGCAAGAACAGAAAACAATAGCTTGATGCACTGCCTTCTCCCAAGTGATATGCAGGAGTGAGAGGGCTGGAGTTGTATTTTGAAATATGAGCTTTCTGACACTCGATTTTAAGTCAGTAAAACTAGGAGGCAGCATTACTCAAGTACTTCTAGCGCGCATATTTTACATTGTTCTGCCAACAATGCTGGGAAACATAAAATGATTATGGTAAAGGATACCCCAAATGCTCAGTCGTAAAACGAAAGCATTATGACTGATTTGACATATGGAGTGTCCTGGCCCTCTGCTTCTGTAGAGCATTGGAAAAGTCACTCCAGTACTTTGGCTTTATTCATATTTGTGTAGGCTGTGTAGGGAATGGAGATACACTTGATTATCTATGGAAGTCTTCAGCAGAAGTAATGCCAAAATGGCACAAAATGAATCTATCTAATGAATGATCAGCATTATTTCTTTGTCTTTCCTGACCTTTGCAATAATTCAGATTTGAAATTCAGCATGAAACCTGGACTGATGCAGAGGCTGTGTGTTTAGGAAATGAGTTCTAATATAGCTGCTCTTATTTTGCTTGCTGCCCGTAAACCATTTTGCTGGTGTATGATATTGCTGATGTGAGGCACTGAAGACTTCTGAGATATTCAATTGCTGTAGCTACATGTTTAATTAGTATGCACAAAATAGGAACAGGATTTGGGGATACAGAAACGAAATTAATTCTTTCAACCTTCTTGTCCCTGGTATAATTTGGGTATTATTGATATGATGAGAACTGGCAGGTTAAAGGGGGACTCTTCATTACAGCATTACTGCTAAAAGCTTTTATTCAGCTTTTATTGAGTTGCTAGATATAACAGATATCCAAAATAAGGGTTTATGACATACAAAATTGTAGCTGAGCAAGACATGAATGAAAAATAAACTTGCAAACATAACAGAGGAGGTTAGTGTGTATTTTGCCTAGGATTTTCCTGGGGGCTTGACATGTCACAAGGCCTGGGGTTACATCATTTTCTGCCTGGAAGGCTGTTATACAGCTGCTGCCATCACTGGAAGAATCAGTTATTTATACCACTGCATTCATAGAAACAAGCTCATTCTTTGCTGCAGTCAGGGTTCACCTGTTGTTATCACTAATCTGAAATCTCCTCGTGCATGCACATTAGTTCTGCTCTTAAAATCCATTCAAGGCAGGATGTGGCTTTGTACTGAAGTTCTTTATAATAAAACAATTACAAAAGTCAGTCATCTGATAAAATTAGTAGGATTTTTTGTCACTCCTTCTCTAGGGCAGTATGCTTACTGTCTCCTTCCTGCTCACTGCCAGTGTGCTGAGACGGGAAAAAGGGGATGATGAGCTGCTGATGCCTGACCTCCTAAAGAAACACAAAATTAGAAAGACCAGACTGCTTAGGCTATGTGTCTGCCTCCAAGGGTCACCAGATACTGTGCTCTTGCTAGTAGTCTATTGTGTCATTTTCCTAGAAAATATTTTCACAGCTTACTGCGTATATTCAATATTTCTCCTTTCTTTATTTCATCTGCATACCTGTATCTCTATTAAGCATAATCACAGTCCTCTGCTTTTTAGGTTCTGGTACATTTTAGAATCATTTAGACTCCTCACATACCTAACACCTTCTCCTCTCCAGACTGTGCCTCCGCCAGCTGAGAGAGACATATTTAGCTATTTTGATCATCTTTTCTGGCAATATTTCCTCTTCATTAGTGTTGTTTTTCTAGGATTTGGTTCCATGTAGTCAGTGTCTTTCTGTCAGGGTGGTGTTCAGAATGAAGTGCAGTTCTCCAGGAATAGAGCATTAAAAGACACAAGTTTGTATAGCGCACAGACAAAAATAATGTTCATTTTTGTTTGACTTGAACAAGTATCCAACTACAAACATTTTCATTCTCTAAGCCTTACTTTTTTTGGGGAAACAAATATTTAAGAGTACATTGATTAAGCTGTGTTGATGAACTTTTTACATGTATATTTTGAAATGGCAGGAGATCGATTTTATGTTTGTCATTTTAGTATATGAGTATGTGTCTTCTGGTAGCTTTGGAAAATCAGTGTTGTCAATATATCACCAACTTTGATCTCATTCCCACAATGATAATCCAAGTGTAATATTTGGCACTATGTGTTACTAATAACACACTGATGATTATAGCAATAGGTGTGATTGTCATGGATATGCCAATCAACATTTAAAAATCCAAGAAGCCAGCTTGGCAAACATTTAAATCAAAATACGGTTATGCAGATTTGTTAGAATATTAGCCATGCTTTTGGACAAATCCTTTCTTCTGTTACAAAATGCCTAGTTGAGCTGATTATTGGAACCATCCTTGGGCTGAAGATGCATAATACTCTTTTCTTTACGTCAGTTTGAAGCATAGTGCCTACAGAACTGCCAAAAAATAGTTACTTATCTGATCTGTCAATTACAAAACATCTGAGGACATGATAATGTGGATTTCAGTCATGTAATCACAATGTGCCTCCACTTCCTTTGTGGGGGGGAGAAGACATCTTACAGTTCCCCAGCTCTCTGCACTTTTTGTGATGTCATATAATCACTTTGTGTGTAGGCTTCTCCGGAAGTAATGCATCCTATTTATTTCCGTGGAAGCTACAACAGATACAAAGAACACAATAACACTTTTTCATAGAACAAAGTCTCAGCTACAAAACACTATTTTTCAGCATAGTCACCATCATTAGCTATGCATTTTATGCGAGAGATGAGCAAGAGTCTCCATGTCATGGTCAGAAAAATATGTACCAGCAGAGATGACCCACTGTCACTGTTGCCACTGCTGAAGTGCACCACCCACCACCTTGCTGTGCTCACATCCACATTCAGCAAGCACAGTGAATGTCAGTAGGTGCCATTTTTTTCTGCATGGAGGAATTCGATAACACAGCTTTGCTTCATACGCACTTCCATGTCAGAAGCCATTCTATCACACTGCCCCTCTGCTGTCACATGGCAACATAATGTAATGGAATATTGGTGGGGAGGTTCAGCCTCTACTACCATATCACCAAGATTTGTCTCTGACACTGTGGGCCAACATCATAAAATAGGAGGCCTTATCTTTGGAGCAGCCCTTGTAGTACATATGGTACTGGAGCATATCTAGGTGCTTCTATAACATACTATGCAAACAGTACAATACTTTTGCTTAATATTTTTAATAGAAGAACTTCAGGGTTCATAGTTATTGCACATAAACGTTACGTGTTAATGAATCCTCTTTGTGGAGTCTTAAAAAATAAATCTCCCGTAGCATTCATAATTCTAACTTACTATAGAATTTTCTTGCTAAATATTCACATGAATTTTATATGCTTTAGAATTTGAAACTCAGCTATATAATGTATTATATACAGAGCAACAGGCAATTATGATGTGTTCAATGTGTTTAGTAAAGTTTAAGAGCTGTAGATCTCAACTAACCCTATTCCAGTCTTCTGCTGAGGAAGGCTGCAAATAATTATCACTGTTAACTTCCAGGACTTATTTTACCTGTGGATGCTACTCTTCGCTTGTTAAATGACTGTGAAAGATCTCCAAAACTATCTGTACTTGCAGCCAATCACAGGTTTAATACATTTAGAACCTAGAAAACAATGGAATTACTTGAGCATATGAATAGCTGCTTACTGAATTTACTATTGAAAGTATTGCATAACTCACTCAGATCCTAGAATTTCAAGAATAGGGAAAGAATAGATCTCTGGAATTTTATGTGTGTGAAGATAACAGTCAAAATGTGAACTAAGTATTAACATAAACAAGGGGGCAAACATACTGGAAAGAATTCTCATAGGAAACAGTGTCAACTTTTGTGAAAACTAGTTTGGTTTTTTTTCAATGTATCGGTGAAATAAAAAGTAAGAATTAAAAAAGGCTGAGGACTGGGGTTAGAAAATGGAAATTAATAGTGCCTAATTGAACCTGTGTCTCTGCTTTATAATTTAAGTCTTGTATGCTATATAGAAAATTGAATTTGCATACCAAATCAGGCATGTGAAGAGTTAAAATTGCACTCGCATGCTGGGATGCAATGAGGCACTTCTTTTCAGTGTTACAAGATCATATTCCTCCAAACAGCTTGAGATAAAAGGAAGTGGTTGAAATCTCTCTTTCCCCTTCTCTGATACAAAATTGGCCATGTTGAATTAATTATGAAGAAACTAGGAATGTATTCATTTTAATAGCTTCCTGATGCATGGACTCTTTTGTCTCTCTTCCTCTGTTGCTTGAAAACATACAACAGCAATACCCTCCTGCTCCTCACTTCCTCCCTCCCCTTTTCCTCTGCTAACATACTATGTTAAATATGCTAACTTTTTTTTCAGTAGTTGAAATCAGTTTTGGAGCAGTAAGAGTCACACCCTTGCTATAATCAAGATTTACTTTTTCTAAGCTAAGGCCAAGACTTGTTCTTGTAGAAGCTGCTTAATGAGTCTACCTTGGATAGCTTCATGTGGGTTTTGGATTTCTCCCAAGGCTAATGTGGCACAGCTGAGGCACTGCTCTAGTGATGAGCTGACATGTCTAGAGATGACTACCTCCTGTCCTTTAAAAAGCAATGAAGTAGCCATAGTAGCCCCTTTGCTTTTCCTCATAGGTTGTGGGATCCTTCCAGAAGCAAGACAGAGAGGAAGGCTGATGTCACTGGAGGTAACTTTATTTTTATTTAAGTTAGGTGCCTTTGAAGCCCTGCTCGAAATGAGGAAGCTTTATGCTTTGTAAGCGTTCTGAAGTGTGCTTGTGCAAGGCCTTTGCCTGAAGAGAATATTTGGACTGAATTATGCAGTTGCTATGCAGCTGTAGCTCTCCTTTAGATCTTGTAGTGATACTGTCTAGCTAAAGAAAATGGGTGAGCAGACTCTGTGAAGGCTAGATTAGTGTGCTACTACTTGGTAGAAGAAAATTTTCAACACAGGATCTGAACAGGGCATTTTCCCAATTATGTGGTGACCGTATTCAGCTACTTCCTGTTTCGTACTTCAGCTGAGAATGAGACTTTTTTACATAAAACTGCTTGCAGAATGACTGGTTCCTTTACTCTCTGTACTGTTTGTGAAAGCTGTGCAGGACTCTTAATTGCATTCTTGGCAACTCCCCTGTTTAGTTCCTTGGCAAACATATTTAGTCCTTATTCTTTATGAAGTACTGTAGCCTAATCTTATAGTAGAGTGGCTTAACGTAGCTTCGGTGTGAATTCACACAGAGAGTAGAGATGGAGCGATTTTAGTAGTTAAGAAAACTGTAGGCATTGATGAGAGGTAGAATTCTCTGCTGTTACAATGCTGTGTGACTATCCACATCTTTGGGTGCCTTTCTTTTGCATATCTGGTAGCGTTGTGGCTTTCCTCTGTTTGTGTGCAGAGTATTTGGGAGGGGCTTTACTACCACAGGGATTTTAAGAAGTAACCTCACCTTAGAAAACTGCAACCTTTTGCTGGTTCGTTAGCAACAAAGTTAGCTGATCTCTAGGGATGTTAGGAGAGATGACTGCTTTTTTCCTCTGAGGCAGAATGATTTGTAGAACTCAGATGGTATTAATTACAATACATTATGGAATTAGAATAAATAATGAATTTATTTCAACTGGAAGATTTGCCATCATTCATAAATCTAAAAATAACATGAACTTTTTCCAGTTTCAAACAAAACTGTATAATCCCAAAACATTACCTGTTTTACTTCTAACAAATTTGTATCCCGCAATAAAGGTGAATCTGATATGACAGATAATGAAATATCCTTTAGAGAAATTTTAAATAAGCATATCGAGTTCCCATTCAATTTCCCAAATAATCTCTGTACTGGGCAGTGGCAGAAGGACAAGCACTCTGCTCCCTGCAGAGTGGGCTGGAATTGCAGGGGAAGGTATTAGCTGGGAGAATACAGGGGACAGAGATGAGAAGGAGAACAGAGAATATTTTAATTCAGTACTCTTGAACAATGCGCTATAAAATGAGACTAGTGGTTTTACCACTCAGGAAGCTGCTTACTTTGCTGTGGTTTGTCTTTACACTACTTGTTGTACCCTCTGAACTGATAACACTCTTGTCTTTTCTTGTTTCCTTACATATGTGTATGAATCATAACAATGATGGATTTTTTTATTAGTCTGAATTAGAAATGCTTTTGCTCCTGTAAAGTTTTTATCTCTTCAGAACAGCTCTTGGAAAGCAGAGGAAATATTGTTAAGATGATAAGGACAAGTTTCAGTGGAAAGGATGTTTCTAGAAGAACTCTGCCTTCTTCCTTCCTACTGCTCTGAAAGGGACAGACTCTTTTTAACTACCCACCAAATCCTGAAGGATTTGGGACCTGGCTCATGGCATATTCTGTACCTACATAGGAATGGGTGTAGATGAAGTAAGAAAAATCCAGCAGGAGAGCTGGAGTCATGAAGAAAAGACTGTGGCCTTGTGGTTAAGGCACAAGTCTGGGTCTCTATAAACCTGGGTTTAATTTCTGGCTTGACTACAGGCTCTTTGCAAGTTTGCAGACAAGTTACTTGATCTTTGTTCTTCAATTCTTTCTCTAGAGTACGGACAGTACTATAGCATAGTTCATGTTGTATGAGGATATTTAATGTTGGCTGCTACAGCAATGAACAGAAATCTGAGTTACACTAGTCTCAGTTTGGGTTTAGAGCAAGGATTGACATAGGCCTATTACCACTGAACCTGACCTCACACCCTGGGCCAATTTTTTTTAAAAGTTCTGCTCAACAGATGTTTTCTCTTTCATATCTCTTGTTTTCCCTACAACCAGCTTGGTTAACATAGTCAGAAATGACATTTTTTGTTAACTGCGGGTGAATTTCCTCTGACGCAACACTATTTAAAAGGTAAACAGTAACTACATGGCAGAAGGTAAGGCAAGTTATTACAAGGATTTCTAGCTAGGCAGTTCTCCATACAAAAGATAAAATATGTAACATTTTTAGAAATCTTCCCGTTGCCATAAAAACAATGGTCTGCACCACATCTAACCTCCCCACCCTAAAGCAGTGCGGTGGAGGCTCCCAGGACGCTAACATGCTGAGCCGGCTGTGGCCTGCCCTTCTCCAAGATGAAATACCATAGCAAGAGTGTCATTGCTTGTAGCTGGAATGGGCCTTTTGCTTGAAATATTAAGAAACAGGGAAAGGAAATAAAGACCATATGAGCAACCACCCTCCCTTTCTCCACCTCAGCCCCCATCCCTCCCCACCATTCTGTCATCCCTAAGATGACATGCAGAAACATCAGTTGAATCTGTTGGCCTGCTTTAAATTACAGCATACTTCTTGAGACTGGAAAAAGACTGTGAGTGCCCAAATGTGAAACAAGATTTCAGCTGCTGATGTCTAAACTGCATGAATGTTTACTATGCTTAATAAATAATGTGAAATAGACTTTTCTCTCTTGTTGCAATGTCTTTGCTCTAGAAATATTCTGCCCGATTACATGAGCATGTTGCACATAATGAAGTCTTAGCAACCCATCTCTTCTGCCCGCAGAGTCCATGTGGAAATCTGTACACCTCAAGATCCCACAAATCCCAGCTACCTGACCTACTTTGTGTGCATGACATCACTTGGGTGCCTCATTTGCTTTCTCGTTTGCTTTGAACTCTGCACACATGCAGCTGCATGGGAAGAAGTCCTTGCTTGTGTTTTCTTCTATTGTAGGCTCAGTCTCTCCGTTATGACAGAGCAGGATTTTACTTGAACTTAAAGGAATTGGAGAAATCTCAGTTTCAATCATAATGGTTTGCAGAGAAAACTTACAGGCATAAACATCTACACTTTAGATGACCCAATATACCATATTCTTTGGTGTGAAGATTGTAATTATTCCATAAAAATATGCATCTCTTTATTTCTTCTACCCTTCCCAGTCCATCCTGTTTCTGCAGTTGTATTTATATTTTCCACTGTACTCCTTCATTGATTTTTTCACTTTGTGCAAATCTAGCTTGAATCATCCAAAACAGAAATCATATGTGCTGTGCTACCAAACTGCACTAACTGCTGATAAACACTGTTAACCATTCTGTGATGGTCATAGCTGATGTTAGTAGATCTACAAGAACTGTGAGCATTTTAGTGAAAGTATTATGGGCGGGAGCTGGAGCAAATCATTTCCCTCTGCAATATCTGACTTGGTCACATGCAGAAATATGAGAAACCTTGAAAGTGAGGAAGAATGGCCCACAATCAATATGTATACTGTTAGAATTCTGAGTGTAGCTCCAACTGTGTTTCAAGAACTTTGAGATTAAGATAACCTTTGCTGTTAAATACTTCATCTGGAAAAGTTGTTCTAACCAGAATGTAGTCAAAATAGTGAAACAAAACAGTAACTGATGGGGTTTTCATCCCTATTTCCTTTCACGAAAGTAGATGAAATTTCCGTTATGCTCTTTTGCATTCACTAGCTCTTTGCTTATACCTATACTGTTCTATCTTTTACAGGCTTGTATTTCTACACCGTATGATTTTTTGTATATTTAAATGTTTTAATGTCAGACAGTCATGAGGAGCATTTCCTTATCACGAGAACCTGAAATCTCACTTCCTAAAAGTCATCGCTGTCTGAGTACAGAGAAGTAGTTGTCACCATAGGAATCTAATGCTGAATCACTCTAATATTGGCAGTGATGTTGGTTATACCCCATATGTTTTGCTAGCACTGACCTCAAGCAGCATCACGAGGATGGGCTGGGAGGTGAGCAGGCCTTCCAAAATAATTATACTTTCTCTTAGCATTGTGGTGTCATTCTCTAAGCAGGTGCTGTTTTTGTTCTCCAAGTAGCGTATATCAGAGGTAAAGCTGGTAAGGAGTAGCACAAGTTATTTCACTATGCATGCACAGAATGTTCCTCCCCCCGTTGCTGTCCATTAGATGAGAATAAATTAGTTATTTTTGTTGCTATTTAGAACATTGGTGACCAGCAGCAGAATGTATCTATTTGAAACTCTCATGTCCTCAGAATATGATATCTAAAGTAAGAGCTAATCTTTGTTTCCATTTCCATGTTAGAACTTCAGAATGGAGAAAAAAAAAGTTTGTTATTTTGGTGAACAAAAAAGAACAAGATCCTTGACTACAGTATCTTTTTACTCTTCACCCTTATTTAAAGCAGATAGCAGCGGTAAGAGTGAGAATTTACTACAAGTCTAATTTAAAAACTCTACTTCCTTGTGCATAGTCCCAAGCCCAGTACGTACTCCACTATATTTTATTTCGACTGATTCAGATGTGAGGAAGTAAACATAATTGGTGCTGATTTTGCTGTGGCTGGCTTGTTGCTAACTGTGCAAAGTAATGTCTTTGGAAGTATGTGGATTTGGTGTGTCTCTGTTATTCCTGATCTATTTCCTCCATCCCTTTAGACTCACTTCTGTAGTTCAGCAGTGCCTTTAGATAACAGATTAACAGAAGAGAAAAGGAAAGATAGCACTGTTCAAAGCAAATCCTTTCACCATAGCGCAATTTGTGTCATCCTGAAGTTAAACAATGTTCTGAGGCCATCCCAATTCCTAAAGGAGTAATTGTGGGCTAGACTTTCTGCACCTTCCAGATTTTGACTATAACTTTCATGGACTTCTCATCCTTTCAGATCCGGAAGCAAATCTCACCCTAGCTCCCAGAAAGTAAATACAATTTATTCAA